GTCCTAAAATGGAGTGTTGGATTCAAAGCTCTTGTAGGTGCCTTCAGAGGAAGCCACTGTGTTGCTACTCACTGCAGAGTGGAAGGCAGAAGTTCAGTTCCCTTCATGCTTCAACTTCCTGGTACTTCAGAAACATAGCAGGACCAGCTCCATTGGTGCTTTCCCCACTCTGACAAGACTCCCCACACTTCTCTACTTGATTAAATCCCCAATGCCTTAATGAATTTAGAAATCTACTGTGCCTATTAGAGATGGGAGGAGGTGGGAAGGATATGAAGTCACCCAGAATACTTCCTCTGAGAGTAACTTGGTTGAAATTACCATACACCCATTACATTCTTTTCCTGCCATTCATTTGCCCTTGCCTCCTTCTCAAGCCCACAAATCCTTAGTTTCTAAAATTGAAAAGAAACACACACACACACGCACGCACACACACACACACACACACAAATCCATCTTTCAGTGTTTGAGAGCTACACGTCAAACCTATGGACATAAAGCAATTTCAGTAAAAATAACAATAAACACAGTCTGTGCTCATTATATTCTTCAACGGAGATCTTAAATCTAGGAGGCTAAGCACAGAGTAATATTTAATTATCACTGCCTAACTTCTAAATAGCGTTCCTTCCTTTCTCTTTTTTATTTTTTAAATTGACATAAAATTATATGTATTTATCATGTACAACATAAGATCGCTCGATTTGGCATTATGATAACAAAATACCCAATTAACTTTGTAAAAAGTTTATTTAGGCCTGTAGTTTTGCAGGTTCAGGGGCACAGTGCCTCCCTCTGCTCAGTTCAGGGCCCTTCAGCTTCCTCACATCATGGCAGATTTGCAATGTGGGAATCTGCACAGAAGATAATACATCATGATACAGAAAGCAAAAGGGCTGGGTGAGGCCAGTGTCAGGCTTCTATAGCAGTTCTCCAGAGAGAACTACCAAGAGGTCCCACAAGAGCCACCTTAATCCACTCTGAGGGCATTTCCTCAATGACTTCAGGACCTTTCCCTTGGCCCCATGTCTTTAAGGTGCTACCACTCACTAGTGTCACCCTGGGGACAAAGACTCTAATCACATGGACCCTTGGAGGACAAACCAAATACAAGTCATAGCAAGTGGGATCTTCTGATATATACAGTTGTCCAGCAATACCATGGAGAATTGGTTCCATAAACCCCTTGGATATTAAAACCTATGGGTGCTCAAGTCACCATATACAAAATGGTGTAGTACTGGCATACTATTTGTGCACATTTTCCTGCATACTTTAGATTAGGGGTTCTGAATCCCTGGGCCACTGACCAATAGCAGCAGTCTGTGGTTCATTTGGAACCAGGCCACACAGAAGGACATGAGCAGCAGGCTGAGTTAGCTAAGCTGCACCTGTATTCACACTGCTCCCAGTTGCTTACCTTGCTGCCTAAGCTCCACCTCCTGTCAGATCAGCAGCATTAGATTCTCACAGGAGCACAGCCCCACTCTGAACTGTGTGCATCCCAGGAATCTAGGTTTCAAGCTCCTTGGAATCATCTTGAAACCAATTCTCTGCCCTACATGAAAAATTGTCATCTACAAAAGCAGTCTCTGATGCCAAAAAAGATAGAGGACTGCTGCTTTAAATTATCACTAGAATATCAATAATGCCTAAATGCAATATTAATACCATCTAAACAGTTGTTATACTGGATTGTTTAATGAATAATGACCCAAAAAGTCTGTAGTCTCAACACAGATGCAATTTCCCCCCAGTATTCTCAACCTACAACTGATTAAGTCTGCACAAGAAGAGCCCTTGGGTAAGAAGGACTAATTGCATATTTCCTGTGAGATGGTTGTATTTGTTAATTGATAAATCCATTACTTCACATGGTTTTCAGTGTTGTGATGTGAACACTTAACAGCCATGCTCCCAGTATTTTTGAAAAATTTTATCAGTACATGTTTCCAGTACATAATGATTACCTTCACTGTGGAAAGTCGGAACATGTACATATCTTAATTCTTGTTACTTCCCCTTCCCCTTTTCCTCCCTCCTTGTCTTGGTCCCCCTCTCATTCACAAAATCTCTATCTTCCTGTTGCCTATTGTCTTTTATTTTTAAGAATATACATCATAACTATAGTCACCATGCTATACCATAATAGGTCTCTTTAACTTATTCCTCCTGTCTAACTGCAAATATGTATCCTTCGCCCAACATCTCCCCTTCCTGGCTTTCTTATTTTCATGGGGATTCAAGTCAAGACTTGGCTCTTGTGTGGCAGGCAGTAGCACTACTGAGCTAAATCCCCAGCCCCTGGATTTCTTTTAATTTTGATGCTAATAACTGAGTATTTGAGAATGGCTATGACAGTGAGGAGCTTCTGCACCCACACTGGAAGAACACAGCTGACCTGTGAGCACTAGGTGATGTCACCTGTGAGGGGGACCCCCAAAGACCCCCACTCACTAGCCTAACCTGGGCCAGCTTAGTCAACTTCAAGAAGAATTATGGTGGCTTCTTCAAGAAGGATAAAGCCCTCTCCCCCCCCATGAGGAAAAATGTGAAATAAATGAAAATATATAACAGTGAAAATGTCACAACACACTGCCAAAGCACATGAAAGCCACTGCCAAAGAGATTCACTGGCAAAATAAAACCACTATCTGAGCGGTTCAGCCATCTTCTAGATGCTTTGCCTGTTTCCTTGTTTCACTCTAATGACCAACTTGGACATAGTAGACGCAATTGTTATATCCATTTTACAGAAGAGGAAACCGAGACTCATTAACTTGCCTAAATCTGGCTCAGTCCTAAGAGGTGGATCTGGAATTTAAACCCATTGTTTGGCCCCAGCAATTTCACCCAACGTAAGAGCACCACTCTGCTCTCAGGTTGGGTGAGATCCAGGTCAACATGGAGGAACACTGGTTCCTCTTCCCGAAGACGAATAAAGAGAAAGCTGTTTAAGGCACCCCACTTTGGGGCAGTGTGATTCAGACCTTCAGGCAAGGAAGGGAGAAACTGAAACCTAAAGAGATGGTCGCTTTCCCGCAGGTGGGTGCCACAGCCGTGGGCATGCGCACCAGGGCTCCCATGCGGCACCCCCACCTCACCCCCACGCCACCGCGAGCTCAGTCACACGTCGTCGGGACTTTTAGCCCTAGGCAACCTTTGGCCCCAGCTCCCGGATCAACGCCGGGAAATTAAACATGTTGCACGGAAGGAAATTTGGCCTGTGGAAGGTGCTGCAGCTGGTGGTTAACACCAGCAGTAAGAGGATCAACTCCCAGGCCGCTGGTTTAAAAAGGGGAACGCGGGTGAGAAGTGTGCGTGCTCCCTTTTACCCATTCACTTTAGTTAATTTGGATGATAAGGGTTCGTGTTTAATCCCTTTGTGTGCGAGTGAATGTACTGAAATGGACAACCCCTGAGAAGGCACCCGCGGCTGGCAGAGCAACCTGCAGGAGGGTGCTGGTCGTGTCCAATCTGGCGTGAAGTAGAAAAGAAACTGAAAGCAAGACAGAGAGAGACACCCTAGGGTGCGTAGTGCAGACCCGCTCTACTCTTAACGGGCTGCGGCTGGTGGATTGCGCTCTTCCCCTAGGCCGCGCACCTGGGCCTGGCTCTGCGCCCTGGAGCCTCGCGCGGCGCTCCGCCCTACCCACCTCTGCCCGAGGAACAACACCACCCACAGGGAGAGCCCGGGCGCTGTCACGGTCTCGAGCAGAGAGAATTGAAGCGGGGGGGGTGGAAGGTAGCAAAGGGGGTGATATGTAATGAGATAGCTCTGCTGATCCCAGATGGAAACGATTAGGAAAAGGTGAGAACGTGGTGGCTGAGGAGTAGGTCGTAAAACAAACGTTGTTTTTATTGTTTCCATCTGCAAGAAAGCTCACCCACCACCCACAGGCTGCAAACTCAGAGCCCCCAGAGAGAGGGTTCCGAGGCAGCAAACGTAGCCGAGGCTGTTCGCGGGGGAGGAGGGCCTCGGGCCGCGGCCCCGCTGCCCGTAGAGGCGCAGCCGGCCAGGAGCTTCCCAGACCGTGCCACCCCCTCCTTCTCTCTGGGCTCGTCCGGCAGATTTTCCCCCTCGTTTCTTTTCGTGCCTTCCCTCCCTCCTCCTCCCCCGATATTTTCGCTTTCTAAAGCCATAAAAAAGAGATCAACTCCCCTAACTTCACGGGGCCCTTTTCAGTGACAAATATTGATGCCCAAAGTGTCTGCGCTCTCCCGCCCCCAAACGTTAAGAAAAAGCACCCGCGAAAGGGGGACATAAAAAGTTAACAATGCTGTGAAAATATGTTTGCAGAACATAGACAATCGTTGGATTAGACGTATTCAAGTATGAAATAATGCCTTTTTGTGTCAAAACTTGGGCGATAGGCGGGTACAAAATTCCCTGTGGCAGAGACTTGCTCCCTTTGTGAGCCGTGCGCTTTGGCGTCTCCACTTGGGCGCATTACTCAGAGCCCTCTAAGCGCGATTGTTTCTCCCTTTCTAATGACATTTACCGGATCAAAACATGCTGTTAATTCGATCAGAAGGCTTCACCCTCCCTGACAAAGCCACAATCATTTCTCCTGAAGTTTGTTAAATTGACCAAAATTGGGCAAATGAATAGGGGTCTGTAGGCGCCCCTCACGCAGGTGACGTCGCATAATGCTCGCCTGGCCAGCTGCATTCTCCCTTTTCTTCTCGGTCCACTCTTCTCCATGTTGCCCCCCAATCCTCCCTCCACCACCACCACCACCACCACCCCCACCCACACACACGCCGCCCGCCTGTCTCTCCTCCACACCCCCGGCATTATGAAAATTTAGCCCAATGAAACTATTCAGACTTTTCAATGGACATTTTCGTATAGGATAATAGGCTACAAATTGAACCTCTTCCCCCCGCGAAGAGAGAGCCGGAGGAGGGAGAAAAGAAAGCAAGCGCCTGGGTGGGGTGGGGTAGGGTGGGGGCGTCGCGTGCCAAAGACCCGCGGGAGGGGCGAGGCGAGGCGGGAGCCTCGTGTGCCAGCCGCAGCCCCACACCTGCCGGGATGTCCGGACAAATAAAGCGGTGTAAACAAAAAAGGGGGAGATGGACGTGTCACCAAGTCGTGTGAGAAAAGCCTGGGAACAAACGGGGCGCCTTCGTCTCCAAGAGCTCTCCCTTGAACCCGGCGGAACAGCCTATTAAAGGCTTAATTACTTTAATGACTCTGGACAGGCTTTAAAACGCACTCGGCGCTGGGACGGCGGGCTTGCTGGGATTTGTAAACAGGCGATCCTGTGAGACTCAGCGGTGCGACTAAAGGAGGCGACACTGTTTTGTGAGGGCCCTCGCCCCCTGGTGCCCGCGGCCACTGCGCCCCTGCGCTCCGCGCCCGCGACTGCTGCAGGCGCTCGCTGGCCCGCCGGCTCCAGTTTACCGCCTCCTTTTCCCGCCCGGGGCTGTTGCCATGCTAATGTCATTCCCAGCCGATCACGTGTCCTTTGAAGGGCCACGTGGATTAACAAAACTGACCTGCCCCCAGCTCACCCCCCTTGGCTGCTAATTTTTTTTCTTAACTTCTTTAAAACTGATCTTGAATGCATACATCCTCCAAACGCAGATCCCCTAATCCTATGGAATAATTCAACTCGTGAATGCACTTGGAGTCCTAGATGACCGCTTTATAAGGCAGCCCCTCAGATTTGGGAGGCCTCAGTCTACCTGAGACACTCGAAGAGGCGGAAAGTGGACGTGTGCCTCGCACCAGCGCCTCTCCCGAGGGCGCGCACTGACCGGGATGTCAGACAAGCTCAAGGACCGAAAAGTGAGTCCTTGCGCCTTAATGTGGAGGTGGGACCCACTGACCCTCCACCTGGCTGCACTGCTGGCAGAGACCTGGCCACATGGGACTTTGCGTGTGGAAGAATCTTAAGCGATTTGGGAAGGGAATGGAAACAGAGCGAGGAGAGTCCTTAGCCGGGGGCGGGGGCCGGGGAGCTCAGGATGGGAATCAGATGTCCTCCCCAAAACCCTGGCGCTCGGTTTGGCTGAGTGGCCCTAGAGAGTAGGGTGGCTGGAAGAGGAGCGTGCCACCTCAGGCAAGCGGGGACAGTGCTTCCTTGCGGCGGCACAGGGGTCCCTTTGGGGGAGTGAACTGCAGCTGTGCCTTGGATGACTCCCTGGGCAAAGCCATCCTGAACACAAAATCCTCTTTTCGCAGAGAACTCCGGTTTCTCATAAAGTGATAGAAAAGCGGAGGAGGGACCGGATCAACCGCTGTTTGAATGAGCTGGGCAAGACGGTACCGATGGCCCTGGCGAAGCAGGTAACGTCCACGGCCCAAGCCGCGTGCCGAGCTTTGGGAACCCCCGGTAGCCTCTCTGGGGGGAAACGCCTGGCGCCCGGAGGCAGCGGTGTTCAGGGCGGACCTCGCTCCCCGGAGAGCCGCAGGCCTCTCTGTCCTCTTCGAATAAAGTTGGGCCCGCCCGCCGGCTAGGCTTGGTCTGGCACCGCAGGGCTGCTGCAAGGAGTCTTTCGCCTTTTGCAGAGTTCCGGGAAGCTGGAGAAGGCGGAGATCCTAGAGATGACCGTTCAGTACCTGAGAGCTCTGCATTCATCGGATTTTCCCCGAGGAAGGGAAAAAGGTGGGTTGAGTTAGGGAAAGGGAAACGTGGGCAGGGAGCGTGCGCCCGAGAGACCTGGGGGCCAGGAGAGTGAAGGCGCTTCCCAGAGAGGACAACTAGACGGACGCTGCCAGGGCTGGGACGAGGGTCCCCCAAAAGCTCCTCTCCCGCCAGGGCGAAGCTAGGGAAGACTGGTTCTGAGGCGTCTTCTCAGGTGAGGTGGGTGTGGTCCGGCTCTTACTAGAGTTCTCCAGTCACTAGACTATGGAGAGGGGAGTGAGGACCTCGAAAGGGAACTTTGGCCAGCAAGTGTGGAGGGAGATGCCCAGCACCCACCTAGACCTCCTTGGGAATGGGGTGCTCAGTAGTTCTTCCTTCTTGCTTCTCCAGCAGAACTTCTAGCGGAGTTCGCCAATTACTTTCACTACGGCTACCACGAGTGCATGAAGAACCTGGTGCATTACCTCACCACGGTGGAGAGGATGGAGACCAAGGACACCAAGTACGCGCGCATCCTCGCCTTCCTGCAGTCCAAGGCCCGCCTGGGCGCAGAGCCCGCCTTCTCCCCGCTGGCTTCGCTCCCGGAGCCCGATTTCTCCTATCAGCTGCACTCGGCTGGGCCGGAGTTCGCGGGCCACACCCCCAGCGAGGCCGCGGTGTTCCCGCAGGGCGCTGCCCCAGGGACTTTCCCCTGGCCTCACGGCGCTGCCCGAAACCCCGCGCTACCCTACCTGCCCAGCGCGCCGGTGCCACTTTCGAGCCCGGCGCAGCAGCACAGCCCTTTCCTGGCGCCGGTGCAGGGCCTGGACCGCCACTACCTCAACCTGATCGGCCACACCCACCCCAACGCCCTCAACCTGCACACGCCCCAGCATCCCCCGGTGCTCTGACGCCCAGTGCCCGACGGCTGGCTGCGCTTGGGCGCCGCTTAGGAGACGTGTATATATTGTACATGTGTAAATATTGTGTCCACACAAAACCGGGGGTGGGGGAGAAGACCAAAAGCGAAATAGTCTTCTGAAGAATCTCCTCTTCCGAATAAATCTTTCCTGAAAGACCCAGAGAGGTAGATTTCTTTGTTACCTTTCGCTCATCCACAACCCATACCTTCCAGGTGCGGAGGGTGTGAGGCTGACAGATGACAAGGTGAAGGTCTTTAGTGGCTTGGCTGGGAAGGGGCGGGCGTGTCGCGGAGTCTGGAGCGGAAGGAGGCTAAACGCAGGCTTAGCAAGTATCCAAGGCGTCACTTGGGGGTGGGATTCGCCACTTTCCGGGTGTTAGAGACTGCGCCCGCCTAGCGCGCCTCTGGCCTCTGCGGCCTTTGCTTAGGAGGAGGAGAGGAAGGGAGCACTAGGCTCTCAGAATATTCGAATCCAAGGACTCGCCCAAAACAGGTTTTATGGACTTTGGCCCACTGGGACCTGGGCGCCCTTCCCACCTCTCAGCGAGTCTCCTCGGCGCGCGCACGAGACCGCCCATCTGCAAAACCTAGGCCTGCCGCTCGAATAGCTGACTTCGCGGCCTTAAGTTTGTAAAAATAATTAGTGGATCAAATAATGTTCTGAGTTATGACTTAGAAATAACACCTATCGAAGTTTTCTGACTCTCTTCAGAAGACTCGGTGCCAGAGGTTGGTATCTCTTTTGTGCACAGGTCCGGCGCAGGCCAAGTTGGAGGATGCGCCCGGCTGAGCGAAGCCCCGCTGAACTCCGCTCAGATTCTCAGGCCTGGAGGGAGAGTTTTTCCCTTTTTCCCAATGAGACTGTTTATTAATCTTCCCACTCCATCCAGAACATGGTGAAAAAATTCTGGAGTCTACGGGGGACTTGGCTAGTGATCTTTTAGGTAGTTGTGGTTTTCACTTTCAGTGGATTTATGCCTTAGCCGCAAAATAGTGATACATTTAAAATGACAAGCTAAAATCTTATTCTTCTACCACTCAAACAGCAAAATGAGCTCCATATTGTTTTATGTAAATATATAAAATATACAAGATATTCAGCCATCTAAAGTTAGAGATTTAAATTTTTTCCATCATTGATTTTTTCTTTTAACTTTTGTTCATGTTATCTTCAATGTTCTTTAAACAAATAGTTTGAAATTATGTAGTACTGTTTTCCTCTTTCCAGAGGCTGGAAGTATAGAGAGGCGGTTTGCCTTCTCTCAGTAAATTAACTTATTCCATTTCTCTGGACAGGGTTTCGGAGAGCTCTGACCTAGTCTATTTACTGAGGTCATGGAATGGGATGAACCGCCATTTGTAAACCATCAAAATCATCACACAGTTGCAAAAAAATAAACAAAACCCTCCACTCCATTTTCCTTACAATGAATATATTATGTGTATTTGGGGGATCTATAAATTTTAGAAAAGGTCTTACATGTCAGGGATACTTGAAATAACTTATCTATAAAATGTGAGATATCTCCTTGCTTCTGAACTGATAGAGTTGCAGCATGAAAGTGAGTGTGAGACCAGGAGCCTTCCTGGATAACAAATCCACATGGAGCAATACAGGATAAAAACGAATTATGCAGAAATGGCAGAGTGGATGGTACCCATTATTGGAACACATGTCTTACATTTTCATCAGCACTGGATACAGAATATGAGGAAGGCCTTTCAGATTTTTTTTTTCATCTGAGCATTAAGCCAATCTGAATTCCCTTTTGGCAGTGAAGCATTAAAGATATAGTGTTACCCTGGAAATATAAATTATTAATATATTCAGCATTTCTGTCACTTCTCAACTGTTAACCAAATTAGACAAAACTTTCTTTTGCTAAGTAGATTTTCTCTCTGGGATTAGCTTTGGGAATGCACAGGGCCACCACAGTAAAAACTTTGGTCATTTACATAAAATTTTGCAAACTTCCACTGGTCCATGACAGTCTTTGTACCTCAAATGTTGGTATTCTTGATTTTTTTCTTTCTCATTTAACTGTGGAGGATAAAACCCTGCTTTGGGTTTACAATGACTTTAGGATAAAAGTCTCCCTACTTTCTCTCTCTC